GGGGAGGAATAAATAAATAAATAAAAATTTAAAATTTAAAACATAACCATGCGGCTTTTGGTTCCCTGTTGACATGTAACAAAGAAAAAAAAGAAAGTGCTGAACACGCGTACATACTACGAAGCTGTACATTCATTTTTTATTAGCCACTAAACAATATAATACAGCGCGCAGCAGCTTGTTAGGGACATATCTGCAGCCCGCTTGTTAGCAGCTTCCTTTTGTGGAAGGCAATCGGCATTTTCTGGTGTGTTAATTTCATTATTGCTTGGTTGTTCGCTTACTCGCACAATCCGTTTGATTGATTGATCGGTTGATTGGTTGATTGGATGATTGATTCCTTGATTCCTTGATTCCGTGATTCCTTGATTCGTTGATTGATTGGTTTATTGATTCATTGATTTGTTGATTTGTGGATTTGTGGATTAATTCATTGATTGGTTGATTGATTGATTGATTTGTTGATTTGTTGATTGATTGGTTGATTGATTCATTGATTCGTTGATTGATTGGTTGTTTGGTAGATTGGTAGGTTGGTAGGTTGGTTGATTGGTTGATTGGTAGATTGGTAGGTTTGTTGATTGGTTGATTGATTGGTTGATTGGTTGATTGGTTGGTTGGTTGATTGGTAGGTTGGTTGATTGGTTGATTGATTGGTTGATTGATTGGTTGATTGGTTGATTGGTTGGTTGGTTGCAGGAGGAATGATCTCCGGCACATGGGCTTTGCATTTGCAGAACTGATTTTTTCATCTTTGTCAGAGGAAGGACCTACGGAACGGACGAGTCAGTGGACAATGCAGAGAATTTGGGAAGGCGTGTTCGATCTGGATGTCAATGCTCTTCGGACATATTGCGGAGAAGACAAGGAATGGATGGACGTCGTAAGTTTCCTGGACGAGAACGATGGAGCGGGTTGGGAGCTGCTCACCTCCATGATCCGCTGGGATGGCCACGAGGCAGACAGGTTGTTTAGGTCTCGTTTCTTTGCGTCATGACAGATTCTGGTCCCGTTTCAGTCATGACGGATTCTCCTCCTCTCATGCTTTGCTCGGCAATGTACCTCCATACCTTCCTGCCTCTCTGCCTTCCTCACATGGGCCATACTCGCACTACGACTATCCTGAGTGCATCCAACCGCATTTATGGTTGGATTCAGTACGGAAAGTTTTAAGTGGTAAGTATGTACTTCGTCATCTTATCTTCTTCATTTAGTCTAAACTTATGTTTGTCAAAGAATTCGATTCTGTCCATGTGCCCATCATTATCTATCGTCTGTGGATTCTTCTCTCTCTCTCTCTCTCTCTCTCTCTCTCTCTCTCTCTCTCTCTCTCTCTCTCTCTCTCTCTCTCTCTCTCTCTCTCTCTGTGTGTGTGTGTGTGTGTGTGTGTGTTGAACTACTCTTGCAGTCTTTGTGTCAGAAGCAGCAACGTTTTCACATGTCCAGGTTTTTCTTGTCCATTTCCACATAGATGAAGTTTGGGTGACTCAGAGTATATGCACTATCAGTGAATCTTAGTATTAGAGTGGTTCCTTCTTTGGCTGTCCCATTCCCCTGTCCTCTTTCCGTCCTCCATTGTGTAAGTGGTATTGACTTATTCAGCTCGCCTTCTTTGGGTCTCCATGCCCGCACCGACTTTGGCAGCGGCAGAAAGAGACAGCTAGACGAGAAGGCAACCACTGACCTCTTATGAGAAGTTGTCATAGCCTATCTTCATGTTACCTTACCAATAAAGACACGGAGCTGTTTTGTGTGCGTGTGTGTGTGTGTGTGTGTGTGTGTGTGTGTGTGTGTGTGTGTGTGTGTGTGTGTGTGTGCCCCCCCGTAATACAGTTCCAGGCACTGTGAATAAACAGGCACTGACTGTTTGGCACATCTGGAAGGTGTTGGACTTCGGTACTCAGTTCTCACCGTAGAACTTGCACAAAAAAAAGTGTGCGTGGGCATGTGGGTGTGTGCGTGTGCATGCGTGTGTGTGTCTGTCCCCCGCATAATGTGACACATTTGCGGTATGATACAAAGCTACAAAGTAATATATCGGTGCCCCATAAGAACGAAAATTTGTAGGTCCTATACTGGAAGTTGGGGAATGACTATGACAGACTACAAGAGCATCCATGCTCCCACTGCGCTTTGCAGGCGAACTGGAACACACAGGGTAACACATCAAACAAACATCACAAGATGGGGAAAGGAAGGACAGTAAGGCGACAGTCAGGGAAGCAACGGCAACATACGGCAGAAAGGCACAAGGACTGGGGGCCACGGGGGAGGCGGGAGGGCAGACCATACATAAACTCACAAAACAAGGAAAGGCAAACGAAAAGTGCAAGTACGAAAAGATAACCCAAGCATAAGACAACAGGCAGCAGCAAAAGACAATGGCTGGAGGGCACGGGGGAGGCGGGAGGGCAGACTTCACTCAAAGACACTAAGTAGGCAAAGCATAAAAAAGTACGAGTCCCCAAGAAAAGCAAAGGCTGAAAACATCCGTTAAAATTGGAACGATACAGAGAAGATTAGCATGGCCCCTGCGTAAGGATGACACGTGGAAAAAAAAAAAAAAACTGATGATGATAAGATTGTTTCGTCCGAGTTGCACCGACTCTTCAGGAGGCTGAACCCTGACAATCTGCTGAATGCCGGTATTGATGGTTTGGGTCAAGAACCCTTTGATCCATGTGAAAGGCAGTCTGTCCCCCAAGCCGAACATAGCAGCGAGTGGCAACTCAACGAAGCACCAGGCGACGGTGCTGGAGCAACTCAACTGCACAATGCCCAAAAGGACTGCAAGGAAAGAGACGGCGAATGGACGGGCAGCACGGTAATAGCGCAGTGAGGCACAAGGCGACACTGACACAGCAGCCGTACCACATGACACACAAGCACGGAACACGGAAGGAACGGCGCGGATGGGCAGCAAGGCAACAGTGCAGCGAAGCACAGGGCAAAACCAACACCACCACCACATCAACTTGCAAAGGACAACATGTGATGCCATAGGGATGGGCAGCAAGCCAGCGGCAGAGTGCAGACAAGGCAAGACAGTCTACACATCCAACACGGAGCGAAGCGGCACATCACCTACTCACATCACGGGTGAACTTCACAGACTGTTGGTTCCCACCACCTGCTGAGCCAGGAAGGTAGTCTGATGGACATCCATCATCACCCGCAGACCATATGCACCACAGACTTCACAAGCCGACCGGCCTCCCTAAGAGTGCTGTAGGCACTCCAGACACGCAACCACCGACTGTTTAGCACTTCTTGAAGGTGCTCACGCAAACAGACATAAAAGTACTTTGGAAAAAAATCGGAGGAACGACAAACAACAAGAGAAAGACAGACACATAAAACTGATCGTGTGTGTGTGGGTTTTTTTGGTGTGTGTGCATGCACCGGCGTGTGTCTTCTGTGCACTATACACAAGTCCAAAAAGAAAAGCACTATACAGTCGTGCTTTTCTTTTTGGACTTGTGTATGGTGCACAGAAGACACAGTCCAAAAAGAAAAGCACGACTGTGCCAGACTGTTTTGTCAGACTTTCACCTGATGTGTGTATGCTGTGTGTGTGAGTGTGTGCTCTGTGTTTGTGGGGTTGGGAGGGGGGGGATTCTATTCCTCTTTCTGCGCTGGGGTGAGATTTATTTTGAGGATGAAGGACCTCCTTGTGTTCCATAAGTCATGTTGCCCAACCTTGTGCGAGGAATATCTCTTGACGACTTAAAAAGGACATACACTTGGAGTTCACTGGATGTATCTGACAGCAATTACCACCATAGTCAGTGCAGAAAGTCACAAACGTCATTAGTTGTGGCTCCGCATAAGTGTATCTGATCTGTGAGTTTGTGACAGTGTAAGAGAAGATTCCTGCCAGCTTTTTTTTTTTCCTAGTGGTTTCTTGCCCGTCTAATTTCCCTGCCTTTTGACCCTTCTCCAATTTGCGCATACTACTGTTGTCACTTTGTGTGCACACCTTGACTTTCTTGCTCAACCATGCAACTCCCCCCCCTCCTCCTCTTTGTTAGGGTCTGATTCGACATTACTCGAGTTTTGGAAAACCTCAAAAGAAACGAAAAAGCTGGAGGCCGCCTGCATGGGACAAAAAAAAGAAGGGAAAATTGAGTCTGTATCCCATTTGAAGATGGGAATACGCAGCACCCAAACCCAGACCCTGTTCAACTTACCGTAGTACCCAACTTTTCCCTTGTGCGAAGTTGTAAATAAACACAGTCCTGCAGGTTGTCAGTAGAGAACCACCAAATTATGCTCATGCCTAGAGACGAGTTGGCAAAATTGTGGCTGTACCCATGCCGAGATGGCATTTTGGAATAGAAATGCACTTCGCCCTCTTCCCCATCCCTCTTCTCTTCGTCCGTCTCCACTTTCCTGTAGAAAAGTAACGATAGAACGAGAGAGAGAGAGAGAGAGAGAGAGAGAGAGAGAGAGAGAGAGAGAGAGAGAGAGAGAGAG